TAAATGGTTGATATTATGACTACACCTCAGAAATGAAAAGCACTTGAGTGGTTAAACATATCGAATGTATGAGAACATAGAATAAAGAGTATGACGATGCCTGTGCTTTATCCCGAGTAGGCCACTGGGAACAGTGCTGGTGGCTGAGCCGAGCTGCAGCTGCTGCTGCTAGAGCCATAGCTCGGAGGGAGCAGCATCTGTTCCTGAAGGCTAAGGATTCTGGAAGAAACAGCAATGTGTGGCTGGGACTTGTGGGGCTGGAGGCGGAGCTCAGGAAGGCAGAAAATTGTGTGTGTGTGTGTGTGTGTGTGAATGTGTGAGTGTATGTGTGTGTGCGTGTGTGTGGAGTGTGTGTATAAATGTGAATGTGTGTGAAAGTGTGTAAATGTGTGTGTGTGAGTGTGAAAGTGTGTTGAGTGTATATGCATGGGTGTGAAAGTGTGTGTGTGTGCCTGAGTGTGTGTATGTGACTATGTGCAGGGGAACAGGGTTTGTTGCACAACCCTACAGCAGACCCCAACTCACTCCCTCTCCCTTCCTTCCCCAGCTCTCTGGCTTCTCTCCCCTGCTTACCCTTGGAGTTTTGTTCTTCCAGAGAAGATGGTTAAAACAGTTGAGAAGCTACTGTACCACAAATCCTGACCATTTTTCACTATGATTTTTTTCCCTTGACAGAAAAAGGAGTCAGGCTTTTCATATGAGACAAGATCACATGTTAGCAGTATCAGTGAACGTGAGATCTCACACAAGCAGAGCTGCAAGGGGCCGAGGGTGGGAGGGCTCAGTGCTCCTCTGTGAGTGCTCCGCTTGTCTGTGATGGCAACGGAGGGAAGAGAGGTGTCAGTCCTGCTCTGTCCATGACACAGCGGGCAACACAGTCTCCAGAGCATCATTGCCATGAACGGTCCGCTGAGCTCAGCAGTGTCAGGAGCCTGACTCAGTGCTCCCCCACGTGTCGGTGGGGTCCCATGATAAACATACAGTTGGGATGGGAACCACATCTGGACACCGAGCTTTGGATGAGCAGAGCAGAGGGGCGAGGCCAGGTGAGTGCTGGGACCCCGCGCACTGGCGCAGACCGAGGGCTGGCACCTAGCTCTCCGAGGGCGGCAAGGAGTTGCTCATGAATCAGGCAGACTGGTCTCCAGAGGCCCTCAGCACCTGCATGAAGCCTCACCATCCTCTTCTCAGGACATAGCCAGAAGCTTCTTTTCTGGAGAGAGCTCTGGATATCGGCTCTAGTTGGTCCAGGACAGTCTGGTGGTGATGCCCAGCTCACCCCCTAGCTCTCCAGCGCCACCTGCAGGCAGAAGCCCACTTCCAGGACTAGTGGGCTGAGACCACGACCCCAGCCCTTGGTGGTCTCTCTTCAGCTCCATGCGGCCGATGCAGCACATAGTTAGTAGGCCTGTAATATGATGGACTGAACGTCAGTTTCGAAGAACAGGCCCAGAAAGAGCCAAAGGTGTGTCCTCCTGCTGTTGTGGGTACAGTGGGCAAGGTGTTGGCTTGCATGCAGCCAACCTGGGCTCCATCCCTGACACCCTGGATGATCCCCGAGCCCTGTCAGGACTGATCCCTGAGCACAGAGCCAGAAACACACCCTGAGCACTGCTGGGCGCAATCCTCAAACAAAACAAAAAGCAGCGTCGGGAAGACTGACTTGCTTTCAATGCTACGGCAAGCTGGGTGCAACTGGAGGGCTTCAGGACCCTGCCCTCAGAGCACGAGCATCCCCCCACACTTGGTGGGCAGTCTGAGGCGCCTCCACTCTCTCTGCTCTCCAACACCTCCCCGCCTCCATCTCCAGCTGGCATATGCTGCCTTCCTCTCTACTTCACTAAGAAAAAAGCAGGAGAGATTCCACAGCTCCCACCGCCACCATCTGTCCCAGAAGTCTGATATCTGGGCTCCCCTGTCCCCTCCCAGGGCCTGCCCTGTCCCCTCGCCAAAAGCAACTGGCAGCACTTTCTCTTCACTGCCCACGGAAGCAAGCCCCTTATTTGACTATTTGTCTCAAGGTAGAATACATATTTTTCTTTCTGGAATTTATTTCCCTGACACCATTTGTTTCTTTTCTTTGGCAAAACTCCCTTAACATGTGTCCTCACTGCAGACAATCTCATCCCAGACCTCCTCGGGTGGCTCAGTCTCTCGGGCTTTCCACAGCATGCTGATCCCTCCTTCCTACTCTCTCCTACACCTCCAGGAAGCACACCCTGCCCAGAGAGGCAGAGAGGCGTCTCTGCACCCTCCTTTGCTGCCACTCCCCCCACCAGTCTTTATTCTCTCAGCAAACTCGGTGGATCTGAGGACATTTAAATACAGCAATATGCAAATGACCCTGAGGCGCAGCCCTCCCAGCCTGCACTTCAAACTTCCTCCCTGTCGGCTAGAGCAGCTTGAGACATCCCTGTGCTGAAGCCAGAGCCCAAGCACTTAAACCCAGCACTGCCAATTCTGGGTTCTCCTCTCAGGGACCACCCCGAGCACTGCCAGGAGTGATGACTGAGAGCAGAGCACTGAGGAAGCCCTAAAACTGGGTGTGGCCTCAACTCCCTCCCCCCTCCACCCCAAAGGAGAAACTGTCCCTGTCTGACTTTTGCCCACCCACTTACATACTGCTCATCTCTAAAGGGTTTTTGACTGCCTTGCCCAGGCTGGATCTGGAGTGTTGAGGGGTGTCTGGTGTAGAGTAAGCATTTAGCAAACATGTATTAGTTTGTTTTCCACATATAGAGAGCAACAAGAGGCCCTAACCTCACTCAGTCCAGCACCTCAGACATACACGGGCAGTGACTGGCCGCTCCACAGCTGTCCCAAGTCACTGCCGGCTGGTTTCAGAGGGAGGGTCTAAGATTAAAGAAAAAGAAAAAATATAAAAGCATATGTGGAGGCCTTCGGTTTCCATCTTGACAAATTCGGTCCTAACTGCCGTGTTTGCAGCTGCCCCCTTTCAAGTGGGGACACCGTCACACTGTCTTCCGAGAGCGACCAGGGCCGACACAGTGCCACTCATGCATCAGGCGAGAGCAAAGGAGGGGCCACAAGCTGTCACCACAAACTGTCCTTTACTGACAAGACCAAAGCACCTAAAAGACTTTTATTGACATCAATTTCTTTCAAATGTTAAAATGTGTAAACTCTGGAACCATTTTGAGGACACACAAATCACGGCTGTTTGTCTGAGCATGTCGGCCATGAGGCTGGGGTCCGGACACCACATTTCTGGACAACTCCTCCTTGGAAGCTCAGTTCAATTTGTCCGCCAGGGCCGGGTGGGAACTGAGAAATGGGGTGGTGGTTGCTTAGCAGCCTGAAACAGACACTAGGAAGTGGGTGAAATCACAGAACTGCACATCCATTAACACCTGGGGATGAGGGAAGGTGCCAAGAGGCTGGTTAGAAGAAAAGCAACTAGATAAACCCTCCCCCTTTCTCTCCACCAGCCCTTATCTCTCTGGGCAAGCCTGACAGACAGGAAGTGATCTTGCTGCCGCTGGTCTGGAGACAGCTGGCCTACATGGGGTATCTGTGAGGTGCAACTGGGGACGGGAAGGGACTCGGTGACTCCTATGTGGTACCACTTGCTTCATTTCAGAGACATTCAGCCTGCATCAAACCTGGAGGGTTGCGACAGTGAGGGCGGCGGGCCTGGCTACAGGGGGTGGTGTGGCGTGGGGGGGGGCGGGGCAGAGGAGGAGAAGTACTGCTGGCTGAGCGGGGACTAAGCAAGACCCTCAGCTTGGTCAGGATGGAGATCCGGGCAGCCCAGATGAGCTTAGACATAACCACCAGGCTTTGTATCTGTAGAAAGAACCTAACTTCAGACATTCATGACTTAGAAACACATGTCCCATGAAGCGCCATCTTCTAGAAATAGAACATCAAGGAGAACTAGCCCTACACGGAAGGCTTAGCAACAGCCTAAGCAATGCCAATGAAGGAGGGGACTTGTCATCCACATCAATATTTTTCTTTCCCCATTATGGGAGGAGTGAAACCAGCGCTAATAAATGATTAGACAAGAAACAGTCCTGGAGACCGATCTTATCTCTTCTGACAAATGCCTGAGCTCCCATCATGGAAACAAGGTTATCCAAGCACTTTGTATTACAGTAAGAATTACAATAGAGAACTAGGGTGTGCTAATCCTGATCAATGCCCATTTTAAAAAATAAGCTGTTAAGTCAGATACTATTACATGATCTTCTTGGTTGGAATGTTACGTTTCCTATGTAAAACACACTCTAGTACTTCTATGCTTAAGGCAGTTCACCATATATGAGATGTATCACCCAAACAGTGGGCAAAAAATAAGAACTCTATAGCCCAAATTTATGCTCTGCTATGGGTCTAGTTGAGTCACCTTTCTGCTTCTCGCCCATGTGGAACTGGATCCAGGACTCAGGACAATAAATTTAGGGTGGTCTGTTTTCGTCGTACGTGACTGGGTATGCATTCTAGAATCATTCACCGTCTTCAGTGCTTTGGTAAGCGATCCTGAAAAGTCTCCCTGGAATGTCATTTCTCCCAGGCAGAGCTGCTTAGGATCAAGGAGCCTTTGGAACTCACCCCCCAGGGCTAAACACTCTGCTGAGCGAACTGCCCAGAATGCGGCAGAGGTTCTGGGAGCCTAAACGACTCTGCAGTGCACACAGGGACATCCAGCTAAGTGCAGGCACCTGTTCTCCCAAGCATCAGCACAAACCCCTCCACGCTCCTGCTTCCCCCGCCAGATCTGGAACTGTCTTTCTGTCACACATACCAGGAAGGCAGCCACAAGAAATGCTGCCTAGGTACTGAATTAGGGTGTTATGGAGAATCTTTCTGACCTGTGAGAGAGGCTGCCTGCAGATTCCTGCTGGTCAGCCAGTAAAAAGACCCACCTGGAATATTATGTACAGAGAAGTGGCTGCCACCGTCACCATGCACGGCTGGCTCCCCTCAGAAACTGACACTGAACAGACAACACCAAGTGACATGCAACACGACAGAGGTTCTGAGTGTGATGAATTCCTATTTACACCAGGGGGCTCCTGTTACAAAAACAAAACAAAATAAAAGGAAACAAAAAAAACGGTCATCACTCATGCTCTGACTGGAAGGTCTCCATAACAGAGGGAGCTAGGATGGTGTTTGCTGCTCCCCCCCTCTTTTGTGTGATTCACAGTTGGTTCTTTGTCAGGCACAAAGCATTCTGGTGGTGTTAGGTCCAAATAGGTTTCTCAGTAGTCTTCTGACACCTTTTTGTCTCTCTTTGAAGAGCCAAGTTCGAATGCAGGAAACCGTGATGTTTCTGGGACGAGGATGTCAGAGAGAAAGTGAATTGCTCCAGCCATGCCTGCAATTAAATAAGAATCCTTTATAAAACTGGGGGGGGGGGGGGGAGTGTCAGAAATAGTGTTATTTCATAATGTCTATGTTGTAAAGATTTGGGAAAGGGAGATTTATTTATTTTATTAAGGCACCATGATTATAATAATAGAGTTATTTCCAATATAGTTTCAACCATACAATGTTCCAACACCAATCCCACCACCAGGGTCAATGTACATCCACCAGTGTCCCCAGGTTCCTTTCCCAAGTGCTAAAAATTTAAAACTAACTCCTGGACTGTACCAAATAAAGAAGTTCTGCACTGTGTGTGTGTGTGTACGGTGGGGGGGAGGTGAGGAGGGGGGAATGGGGACATTGGTGGTGGTAAATGTACTGAAATCCATCCATAAACAACTTTGTAATTGTGTATCTCACTGTAATTCAATTAAAAAAATAAAAATTTAAAAAAATAAAAATTAATGTGTTTGTTTGTTGGTTTTCCACCACAAAAGAATGACCAGAATGAAAAGACACCCCACAGACTGGGAGAAAATACTTTCCTACCATCCATATGTCAAAGGGTTAATTGTCAAGATACACAAAGCACTGGTAAACCTTAACAAGAAAGAAAAAACAATCTAGCAAAATATGTGGAGAAAAGATGAATAAAAATTTCCTCAAAGGAGACATACAGATGGTCAAGAGAAAATGAAAAAACATTCTGCATCACTGATCACCAGAAAAATGCAAATCAAAACAATAATGATTTATCACATGAGTGAGTCTGGCAAACATTAATATGACTGCTGCCTGGGAACATTGGTGTTGGAGAATGGGCACTGGTGGAGGGATGGGTACTTGATCACTGTATAACTGATATGTAATCATGAAAGTTTGTAAGTCTGTAACTATCTCACGGTGATTCATTAAAAAATAAATTTAAAAAAAGAGAGACATTATAAAAAAAAACTAGAAAAAAGTAAGTTAAATGATTGCTAGTGCTGGCATGGATACGGGGAAAAAGGAACTCTCATCCACAGCTGTTAGGAATGGCTACTGGTTCAACCTCTCTGGAAAACAACATGGCACTTCTGAAAAAGCTATCTGTTGAGTTCCTGCATCACCCAGCAATCCTACTTCTGCACATCTACCCGAGGGCGCCATAACTCCACTTGGAAACAGCACCCCCCCCCCCCCCCCCCCCGCATTCCTCTGTCCACTGCAGCACCATGCACAATAGCTGAAATCTGGAAACAACCCAAGTGCCCGAGAAAGATGGTTAGAAACCACGGTATGTCTACACGAAGAGAATATAGCTCGGCTGTAAGGTAAAGTCCCACAGTTTGCTGCTCACGAAGTGGAGCTGGAGGTGAGCCAGGAGGAGGAACATAGGATGTTTCCTCTCACAGATGAAATTTAAAACCCAGCACGGGAACTAGAAACAGTCCAAGTCAACAGCATCTAAGCTCTACAGAACGGAGCTTACAGGGAATGGGGCTGGGGGTGTAGGATGAGGAGAGGAGGTAGGACAGAAGGGCCCTGAGCCAAGGATGGAGGGACTCAGCACAGGGTGTGGGTCTGCTCTGGGCACTCTGTCTGCAGGAATTCCTACTGCGACAAGACTGTAAAACTTCCAATCACTGGGGCTAAAATAGAACCCCCCTCCAATTTTTTTTTATGATTTCATTAGCAAATAAATTCTTACATTAGTACCAAGCAGGTTTTCAAGTCACTCTTTCTTTCTTTTCTTCCTGGTTCATTGCTGGCGAGTGTTCAAGGGGCTGAGTGCACATCGTGCACAGGATCACGTCTGAGACCACTGGGTGCTCCCCCCACTCAGCAAGTAGGGGCTCCTGGGTGCTTCCAGCAATGGCCCCAAACAACAATAAAAAAAGAAAACTTTTTTTTTTTGGTCTGTTATTTGGTGGGCTGGAGCGATAGCACAGTGGTAGGGTGTTTGTCTTGCAAGCGGCCAACATGGCCGACCCGAGTTCGATTCTTCCGCCCCTCTCGGAGAGCTTGGCAAGCTACTGAGAGTATCTCGCCCCCACGGCAAAGCCTGGCAAGCTCTCCGTGGCATATTCGATGTGCCAAACACAGTAACAACAAGTCTCACGATGGAGACGTTACTGGGCCCGCTCGAGCAAATCGATGAACAACGGGAGGACCGTGACCGTTATTTGGTGTTCGTTTTTACATCTTTAAGATGATCTCACATTTTCACCATCAAAAGTTATGGATGCTGCTATTACGGCATTTCAGCATATAAAATGTCTTCTCTCTGAGCCTTTATATCTTATCCTTATTGCAAAGCCATAGTTAGTATTTTCTTGAAGTTTTAAGAATGTTACTTTGAGGCAGCTTTATTTGTCTTGGTCAAAACCCCTCCCGCAGTTCACAGCAGTAACGGGGCTTTAAACTGCTGAGGGGGAAGAGTTTCTGGGGAGGGGCCAATGCAGGCTGCTCTCAGGCCCACCTCCCGCCTCAGGCAGAGCAGCCCCTTTCCCAGAGGGCTCTGTGTGGCTACAGTGGTCATTTGGATGTAAGATTTACCTAAAACCAAACACACCTATTTTCAGTGCACTTCTCTGAGTTTTCACAAGTACCTACATCTGTGTAAACTAAACTTCCCACCTGCCTTCCCCAGAAGCCCCATCTCCTCTCCCTCAGCCAGGATGCGGCTTGCTTGGCTCAGATCAGCACGAGAACAAGTCAGTCACAGGACGGTGGCTCGACCTGTGGCTTCTTCCTCAGGGTTTTCATGATCCAATTATGTTCCTCTTCTTTCTTTCCCTTTGGCTTTTTGGGTCACACCCAGCCATGCTCAGGGGTCACTCCTGGGCCTTGGGGAACTATATGGGATGCCAAGGATTGAACCTGGTCAGCTCCATGCAAGGCAAATGCTCTCCCCGCTGTGCTACTGCTTCGGCCGTCGATTACATTCGACGTATGCTATTAGCTGTTCTCCTACCTGTGCACTTAAAGGCACATCAGAAATGCAGCAACTTGTGATACCCCCAAGGACTCTAGCTGAGAGCACACTACAGCAGCATCTGTCTTCTGATCTGGGAGAGCCGCTGCCCCTCTGGGTGGAGGGAGGAAGTGGGGCAAAGCTCCTTTGAAGGCAGCATATGTGAAATTCATTCTTCTATTCCCACATGGAATAAGCCATGCTGTCACTCCCCTGGACATCCTGCTAATGGCCCTCTGTCCAGTCAGCCAGAACCGAGTCAGTGCCCACTGCTGGCTCATTCTGCCAGGCCCCCACGAGCACAGCACAGCCGCCATGTCTGAGACCTCCCAGTCCACAGGGAGTGCTGTAGTCAGAGAGTCTGGCCTACTGACGCTCTTAAGTTGATATTACCAACTTGAGTGAATTCCATTTATGTATTAATAGTTCTATCATCATCATCGTCATCACTGTCATCCCGTTGATCACCGAATTACTCAAGCGGGTGCCAGTAATGTCTCTATTCCTCCCAGCCCTGAGATTTTTAGTAGCCTCTTTTTACTCGTCTTTTCCCAATGACTGGAGACTCAGTGTCAGGGGAATGAGACCTGTTGTCATTTACAGTATTTGGCATATCGAATACACCACAGGGAGCTTGCGAGGCTCTGCCCATGTGGGCGGGATACTCTCAGTAGCTTGCTGGGCTCTACGAGAAGCATATATTTATATATTTTTCTCTCTGATTTGTTGCCTACTGTCTGAACCCCATCAGATATGGTGTAGTAATTGTGGAAAATGGGCAGAAAGTGTCCCATAATGCTTCGCAGCCTTGAGGTCTGAAAAGCAGCCTGGAGCGTGGGGGTGGCCGGGCAGTGGAGGTGGCTGCCGGGGCCGAGTCAGTCCCCTGGGGTGGGGAGGGCCCTCATACGCCCCACAGCCTGATGCAGAGTTACACCTGATGAAAATACATTATGTTTTTATGAATGTGAAGAATAAAATATTTCATTTAACTATACACAATATAAACATCAAAGAAAAAAGGAAAAAGACCCTCTATATGAAAAAAGACTTTATATATGAAACAGAAAATTCTCTAAAAAAAAAAATGCCAAGTACTTAAACTCACTTGAAAGTAAAGAGATAATCCGAACAGTCTTAAAACCTATCACACTAGCCAGAGCGATATCCCTACAGGTAGGACTTTTGCTCTGCACACAGCTAACTGGGGTTCAATCCCCAGCATCCCATATGGTTCTCTGAACATCGCCAGTAATTGCCAGGAGTGATTCCTGAGTGCAGAGCCAGGAGGAACCCCATGGCATTGCTGGATGTGACCCAAAAAGTCAAAAAACAAAAACCCTATCACACATTGAATGTGTAATTTGAAAATTTCTGAAAAAGGCATCTCTTAGCCCAGAAGGCTAGAGAAGTCTATCAAATACACACACACACACACACACACACACACACACACACACACACACACCATAAAAACACAAGAAAGGAGGATACTTCTCAGTACAGTCAATTTAGTATTACCCTAGTGCCAAAAGGACATAAAAGCAAATAAAAAAAAAGGGGGGGGGAGTCTTGAGCACAGATGTAAATGTACTCAAAAGTTTAGCCACTACAATTCTGTAATACATAGAAAGAACTGGATGTCATAAATGTATGGACACAGGAAAACAGTTAAAAGATAAGTTTAAAATTGGGTCTTCCCTTCCTCTCACCTTCAAAGAGCGAATACGGCCTATCAGGGATACGGCACCCGTGTGCACCATAGTCGAGACACCACTCTGCAAACTGAGAAGAGAGACATTTCTGTAAAAAGTGAAGGCTTCCATTGGCGAAAGGGCAACAAATAAGAAACTGCAATTAATTCACCATGCACCAGAGAATGAAGATTTTGGACAAGAGATGTTAGGAAATAGACTAGCTGACTGCCTCATACAGTGAGTGGTGCTACTGCCCTTGGCTGCCTGCTCCATCACCCTGCAGGTGCTTGGCGGGAAGCTGGAAATACAAAACCAACCATTTCACAACCTTATATCCTCCCTAGGCCCTACCTCGTGCTCTTCCAGGTGACAATTCCAACTTCAAACAAACGGTTCTATCAGCCCTCAAAGCCTACCTCCAAAAGTCCTCAGAATGCTGGTTCCTCTCTCGAGTCTCAACTGGGAAACATCTGACCTTAGTTAGTCCTGCCAGGTGCCACTCACTCACATATTCACCCATGCATGCACCACACTTGGGCACTTACTCATCACTCATGCACTCAGGCATCACTCACACATCATTCATTAACAGCACTCACATTTACACACTCACCATTCACTTACTCTTGCACATGACACTCACTTTCACTCATCCATTTCCTCATCACTCCCATCCTTACACACACATTCACTCATCCACTCACCTATGTACGCACTCACACTCACCTCTTCCTAATTGCCCTCCTGAGCACTGCCTGTACCTCCACATCTCCTCGCTCTCCCCTTCCTTCCTCAGAGCTCCCAGGTCCCTGGGCATACTCAGTGGTGCTTCAGTGGGGCCTTTTTTGTTTAAGCTAACTATTTCTGATGCCAGGGCCAGGTTGTGGTATGGCCCTCAACCATATCACTCAGAATACCAGAAAGGCATCAGCAATTTAAACTATCACCAAGGCTGACTCAAAGGGAAGAAGTTCCTTTGGTCTTTGCCCTCCGACCTCACAGGTCACGTACCTGAGGCCTCCCCACACCACTGCTCCACTGCAGGAGCACACTTGCTATTTGTGTCACCTTGAATGCTGCCATCCAGCAAATGTCATTGTAAGCATTTTTGTGTATTTCTTCCCAATTTTCTCATTCGTCTCTTTTGTAGCATATATACAGTAATTACAAACATTAGAAAACCATTTTTATCAAGACTGGCTTTGTGTCATTCATGTATAGTCAAGATTTTTATTTTCAGAATTATAGTTTCTGCTCGTGCTGATTGGAGGTGCTGGTGTAAGCAGCAGTGGCCCAGAGAGTGAGGGTGTCGTCCTACCTTGCAAGCTCGGTAGAGGTACTTCTTATCCTGTGTGAGATGGTAAAGGGACAGGAAAGCATAGCCATTCCCTGCAGTCCCATGGCAAATCCCATAGCCCTTCCGGAGCAATCCCCGCTGCCAAATCACATCGCTACACTCCATGGCATCTTTTAAGTATTTTTCCTCCTTAAATACCTGGGCAATGAAAAAAAAAACAACGTTAAAAAAATATTTCTAGTGAAAATAGCAAAATATTTTCTACTGTGGGTAAGACAATTACATATTAGAGAACCTCAAGACGCATTAGAATAAAAAACAAACACCACTGTTTTTCAATTGGGGTCTGGGGGTGGTATCTGGCAGTGCTCCAAGTTCATTCCTGGGACTATTCAGGGCAATGCTTTGGAAACCATATGTGGGCCAGATCGAGCCCAGGTTGGCTGTGTGCAAGGCCAGTGCCTTGCCCACTGTACTATTTCTCTGTGCCCTACTATATATTTTTATCAGTTGCTCACTTAACATCCGTTACTCATCAATTTGCTCGAGCGGGCGCCAGTAATGTCTCCATTCATCCCTGTCGCATGCTAGTGTAGCCCAACGGTGTCTGCTCGATCTAGGAACATGAAGAGCCTCAAACCGATCGTTCAGGGTCTTGACAAAGAAGTCTGACCATCTTGTAGGTGCGGCCACGTGATCTTTTGACGTCCTGTGGACTCCAGTTCGTAATGGATATAGTCCAGCAGTCATATCCAAATTGCATTACGTGTCGAGCCCATCTGATCTTTGATGACTTGGCAAATGAGACAGCATCCCTGATTCTCGACTGTCAACGGAGGTCAGAACTCCGGATTCTTTCTCTCATTTGAGTGAAGCATGATACTCCAAGCATAGCTCTTTCAATTCCTCTTTGGAAGGCCCGAATAGCATTTTTATCCTGTTTTTGTAGCGGTCTCTGAGGCATATGTTAATGCAGGAAGAACAGTGGAATCATAGAGATGTACCCAGAGCTGGAGGTTCTTCATCCTCTTAGTTATTTCTTCGATGCTCTTGAAAGTGTTCCAAGCCGCTCTCTTCCTCCTGCACAACTCAGGTGCCAGGTCATTTGTCATGTTGACTTCTTGACCTAGGTATACATAATTGTTGCATTCGGAGATGTCTGTTCTATTGAGAGTGAATGGAACATCAAGAACAAGTCCATTTCTCATAAACATTGTCTTCGTGAGATTCAGCTGGAGTTTGACCTTTCCACATTCACGGTCGAAGTCGGCCAGCATTTTTGCTGCTTGGCTAATGTTTGGTGTAATTAGAATGATGTCATCAGCATAGCGGAGGTGGTGTAGTTGCTGACCATCTATTCTCACTCCCATTCCTTCCCATTCCAGTCATCGCATGACGTTCTCCAGGGTGGCACTAAAGAGTTTCAGTGAAATGGTATCACCCTGCCAAACCCCTCTCTTGACATGGATGACCACTTCCTTGTAGAATGGTGAGATTTTGGTACTGAATCCATAATACTGCTCACAGAGGATTTTGATGTAATGATTTTGAATGCCCTGTTTGGCAAGGGCTTCGAATGACCGCTTCAGTCTCAACAGAATCAAAGGCCTTCTTTAAATCAATGAAAGTTAGAAAGAGTGACATCTTAACTCCCAAGAAACCTCAATGAGCTTGGTTACCATGTGGATATGGTCGATTGTGCTAATCCTTTTCAGAAATTGGCTTGCTCTCATGGTTGTCCTTCATCTAGTGTTCTGCCAATCCTATTCAGGATGACTCGAGTGAACAGCTTGTAGATGACAGAAAACAGGCAGATCGGGCAATAGTTGCCAATGTCATGTATGTCTCCCTTCTTCTACAGTAGTATAGTCCTGCTGGTTTTCCATTGGGATGGAACCTTGCATTCAGATAGGTAGCGTGTGAAGAGCTGAGCCAGTGTATTGATGAGTACTGACTGCAGATTCTTCAGGTGTTCTTGTCTGACCTTGTCTGGGCTGGGTGCTGTTCACTTCTTTACCGACGAAATGGTGTGCTGGATTTCGGAAAGGAGAACATTGGGAACGACATCTCCATTCTGCGGAATTTGGTATGTGGGCAGGTGGACATGGCTATCTAAGAGATCCAAGTAGAAGTCATGGATAATCTTCTCCATTGCCCTTCTAGAAGATGTGATAGATTCATCAGGACGTCATAGGGCAGTCACCTTGGTCTTGTAGTTGGCGAAGGACAGGTGGACATTGCGAATGCTTTTCCCGGCTTCTGCTGCATCTGCCAGCACTGCTTCTCTTCTCTCTTTGAGGTCTTCCTTGATCACTTCTCTGCACGGCTTTGCAAGCTAGGACATTCGCTTGTGGTTGCCTGAGGCTTGCGCCAAACCACGCTGGCAAATGAGCTCAAGAGTTTTCGAAGACAGGCGTCTTTTTGTGGCTATCTTTCTCTCGGCATTCCTCGCACAATCATGGAGGCACTGAACCGGTCAATTGTATTCCTCATCAATGTTGTCAACGAAAGCATCTTCCCATGTTGCCACAATAGTGCCAAAGAGCTCCCAGTTGGTGGTCATTCTGGGGGGTCCTCCTTTTAAACTTTGCAGCCCTTTCTTCCCGCTCCGTGAAGTAGAATTTTGCATGAAGGAGATGGTGGTTCGATCCCGTTTGGAATTTTGGGACAACAGTGTCATCGGTCAGGCAAAACCATTGATTGAATATGATGGGGTCAATTTCATTGTGGAACCATCCAGGAGACTCCCACGACCAACATTTAGATTCAGCCTTCTGGAACTGTGAGTTACCATGGATGGTCCTGGTCGACATGATGAACTCAGACAGTCTCACACCCTGTTCGTTCCACTCTAGGCCATAGGTCCTAATGTGGAGTTCTTCAGCTGATCTTCTCGGTCCTATCTTGGCATTAAAATCACTGACAATGATCTTGTAGAAGGTGTGGTCTTCTTTATAGAACTTCTCCAGCTCCGTGTAGAACTTAATTTCTCCTTCATCATAATTAGATGTTGGTGCATAGACAACAAAGATAGAAACTGCTGGCAGTGAGCCACATCTATTCAAGTGTAATCATCCGATGTGGGTTGTTAGGCTGTTATATTTATTTTTGGTTGTTATATTTAGTGAATATAAATCTATAAATATAAATAAATAAGAGATCCAATTTGAACAACTGAGAATAATGAAAAAAAGCCTTAAAAAATAAAGGCCAAACCAAAAAAAGAGTGTAAGATGTGCAATTACATGTTCCAGAGGCTTAAAGAGACTTATGCACACCAAATACAGAAAGTATTTTTAAAAACTTGAAAGCTTCCAGAAGAAAAACACACATGACTTACAAGAGAACAGAAGAATAAGCAATTTCTCATCAAAATTAACAGGGAGAGATGACAACAGACAAGCAGTATCTTTAATAGTAACAAAAGGAAAAACAGAATTCTGTATGAAGCAAAAATATCTTTAAAGAATGAAGTCAAATGAGAGCAAATTGTTGTCACTGAACCTAGACTTTAAGAAACACAGAACTGTAGGGCAGAGATGGCTCAATGACAATGCGAAGAGCTCAGCGCCCAGGGCCTCCAGTGCAGACCAGGACTGTCATCACGAGAGCTTACAGTCTGGGATCCCTCAGACCAGAGCTGTCATCATGACAGCTTACAGTCTGGGAGCCCTGGGCGTGGAGATCAACTGCACAATAAAGAAATGCTCAAGGAAGTAATTTGGGATTAAGCAAATCTCATCAAATAGAAATCAATAGAAATCCAAAGAACAATGAAAACAAGAAATATACAAATATCAAAAACTGCCTTTTATGTGTGTCTTAATTGTCTTTAATAGGACCATTTAAAACGTAAAAACTAGTTCACAGTAAGGTGGGGGGTTACACAATGAGAAAATGGTGTAAAGAAAACACTGTCATTAGTATCTTGTATTTTCTATGAAGCCATATATTAGCTACAAATAGATTATAAAAGTTAAAAATGTATATTGCCAAATTAAGCATGCATATTTAGCAACCAGTAACAAATGTATAAACAATGTATGGACAAGGGCCAGAGAAATCTCAAAAGGGCTGAAGTCCATGCCAAACTTGATCCCTGGCACTGCATGATCCTTTGATAACTTCCTGAGCATCACCAGGTGAGTCACCAAAAACCGAAATACTTACATACATATGTGTGTATATATGTGTGTGAGTGTGTGTGTGTGTGTGTGTGTGTGTGTGTGTGTGTGTATGAAGGTGGCCTTTTAAAGGGGTTTATAGGGTTTTCCCAAGCTGCCCCATGTGGAGCTTTCTGGGTAGGTAAGAGTTCATGGCTAGGGCTATTTCCAAGGAGGTAGAGTTGGGAGTAGTCCTCTCTGAAACTCCCTCTCTTGACCTTTGGTCCTGCTGGATCTTCTCTTGGAGGGTGGATCCAGCCTTCTCTTGTCAGGAATAGCTGAGGGTAAGGAAATTAAAGGAAGGAATTGAGGGTTCTCTAGTAATTTCCTTCAGGCCCTTTCTGTAGGGAGGGGTCCGTCTCCTCAGGGTCAGCTGCTGGAGAAGGTCTTATCAGAACTTGCCTTCTGTATCCAGAAGGTGAGTCAGACTTAGGACTGGTAGCTTTATTACTTCCCAGGAATTTCACTGCCATGATCTGTGTGTGTGTCTGTATGTGTGTGGGGTGGGGGTGGGAGGAAGTCCCTACTCTACCTGCCTATATCACATGTGTTTTATTTCCATGTAAGATGTCTTTATATTTAAAGTATGTCATCTTATACTTGGGGGTTTGTTAAACTATACAGTGTGATGGCTTCAACCTTTAATTTGGAATGTTATTACTCATATGTTTAATGTAATTATAGGATTGGATGTTAACTGCAATTTTTTTTTCATTTTTTCTTCAGGTCATCAGTTTCGGGATAGGTTTCATCATTGATCCATAAAGCTTTTATTTAAATGTACAGGAGCAAGAATATTTAAATCAATGTTGAAAAAGGAGAACAAAGTTGATGTTTCAAATTTCTAGACTTTAAAACTTACAACTAAGATAGAGGAATCAGCACTGTGATGGCAATTAGGCCAAAGCAACAAAATAGAAGATAGAGCAAAAATAGCCATTTACAGCTGTCTGGCAGCGAGGGAAGCCCCGTCCAGGCCTCCGATCCTCCTGCCCTTCTTCAGTGCCTTAAATACATCATCTCCTGCCCTTCACTGTACCTCAATTTCGAGAGTTCCATCCAGGAATGATGACTAATAAAGGGCTTAACTACACTGATGTCTGTCTCATTTTTTCCCACTTACCACATTTATGGAAGGTCCTCAGGTTATCTCTACCTTTCAGAGTCCCCATGTTTATTTCACTTAATTTTTAATAAAAATAGCAGATAAAATAGGGTAAATAAAACACTTAAACTTTGGTTAATAAAAACAACCTCACTCTCTCCCTAGTCTACCGAACTTACCTTGAGAGAAATCCTGGTTCTTTCTAAAGGTGACATGGGAACCAATGTCTCCCAGAGTCTGTGACACAGTTCCCACCAGGGTGCTGGGACAATCCTGGATGTCAGTAGCATCCTTTGCAACCTGGGTTAGGGGATGCTTTCTATTATACACATAAAGAAGGTAGATGTCTGGGATTAGGAAGTGGGGTAGCACTGAATTTTTTTTTTTTTTTTTACTGCACTAGGTTAAATAGGGCTGGAGCGATAGCACAGCAGTAGGGATTTTGCCTTGCATAAGGCCGGCCCAGCTGACCCTGGTTCGATTATTCCTCTGCCCCTCTTGGAGAGCCCGGCAAGCTACCAAGAGTATCTCGCCCTCATGGCAAAGCCTGGCAAGCTCCCCGTGACATATTTGATATGCCAACCACAGTAACAACAAGTCTCACAATGGAGACACTACTGGGCCTGCTTGAGCAAATCTATGAACAACGGGAGGACAGTGCTACAGTGCTACAGGTTAAATAAGTTTGAGAACCTTTGTTCAAAATTAAGTTAGTAGGAGAATACCAATATGATAATAATAGTTGGAAGTGCTCACGCCACACAAGCACTGAGTGTTAAAAGTAAACAAAAATCTGCCCCCGCGCCAGGCTATCTTCACTGCGGCCCCTTGGATGGGGGCGCGTTAAGTGTCCCTCCCCACCCCAAGCAGAGCCCCGGCAGCCGAAAACCTCCAGAACCCAGCCACAGCCATGCTCAAGGTCACTCTCCACACGCTTGGACAAGCCTCACCCATAATAGAACCAACAGAGGAACCCAGATATGCAGGACCCGTGACTGAGATTTCCAGGTCTGCTCGGATCGGGACTGGGCCTCCTCCACCCAGATCCCCAATTCTCCAGTAGCTAGGCAGTCACACCCACAAGTTCCCCCGGTGCCATGTAATCTCATCAATGGCCAAGATACAGAGACTATAAAACAAAGCTCCTAGAAGAGAGCGATGCAGTTTCTCCCTCTCAGAGAGCCTGGCAAGCTACAGAGAGTATCCTGCCCGCACAGCAGAGCCTAGCAAGCTACTTGTGACATATTCAATATGCCAAAAACAATAACAATAACGGATTTCATTCCCCTGACCCTGAAACAGCCCCCAATCTGCCACTGGCCTACGCTAGCACACAACAGGGACGAATGGAGATGTTACTGGCGCCCACTCGAGCAAGTCGATGAACAATGGGATGACAAGTGATACAAGGAGAATATTATCTGAGATGCTCAGACAAACAGAAAGTAATTCTACAAAAACAATAAATTGAACTGATCATAATTTAAGACAACTCAACTCATCAAACACTATTCATCAAAAGATACCACAAAGACTGTGATTAGGTCAACCAGACCAGGAGAAATTATCTAAAAATATATATATTTGAGAAAGGATTTACAACCAGAACTTGTGAGGAATTCTTATAACTCAAGACTAAAGAGGGGGAGAAATATGGGTAAGAAATATATGAATGGAGGAAGCCCGATCACCCCAGCTCCACCACCACAACCTGCACCTGCATGTCTGTGAACATCCTGGCTGGCTGGTAGGAGGCATGGACTCCTGTGAGGGCAGCAGCTGTGTAGGCAGATATTTCCCTCCCTTCCCATCACTCTGGACTCACATCTCAATCTCCATCACCTAATTCTGTGGAGAACATCCTGGCCATCTCAAACACAATAGGCCAAGAGTCCACTAGCCTATTCCAATTTCACCAAAACTACCAGTGAACACAAGAAGCTATACAAGCCCAATATAAAAGAACAAATCCTCCAAAACTTCACTAGAGGCCTCACATAAGTTACAGAGGAGCACCTGAGGGAGGTATTCTAGAAGGGGAAAAAGGGGACCACCATCAACCGAGCTCATCCAGAATCCTTTCTCGCAGCAAGAGGGAATAGTGATAGTGAACTGGGAAGGCCCCACCTCCATAATACCACAACATCAGAAGAAACAGCGAAAATTCCCACTACAAGGAAAGGATGAAGAAGAGTCCAGAAGCCTCAACAGGGGTTACCCACAAACATGATCTCTCCAATAAAAAATTCAGAGATGAAATGTTGAAGATTTTCAATGAACTCAAAGTAACAGCAAATTAAAGAAGGACATGAAAGAAACAGTGGAACGGACAGCCAAGAAAATACAGGAATAAATGAGAGCAGAAATAAGAAAGTTACAAACAGAAGTATCACTAATAAAGGTTTTGGTAGATGAAATAAAAAACTCAGTGGGTGCCCTCAACAGTAGAATGGCTACAACCTAAAACAGAATCAGTGAGTTTGAAGATGAACTGTAGAAAGCTTACAGGCAACAACAAACAATGGGAAAAGACCTCAAAATAGCTCTAGGGTGAATCAGAGTCCTAGGGGATGATCTCAAGAGGAATAATATAAGAATCATCGGAGTACCAGAAGGACAGGGAGGCAACCCCAATGAAAAAGTCACAGTTAAAGATACCATTGCTGAGAAGTTCCCAGAGCTGGAGAACATGGGCATCCAGAACAAGGAGCCAGAAGAGTGCCAGCAAAAAGAGTCCCTAACAAAAAAACTCCAAGAGATATAGAACTATGAATGCCACGAATAGACGCAATACTACAAGCAGCAAGGTCAAAGAAGGAAATCCCATACAAAGGATCAACCCTTAGATTTACAGCAGACCTATCATTGTCTACCCTCCAAGCCCGTAGATAATGGTGGGATATCAGAGGAAACCCTCCAAGCCCATAGACAATGTGTGATATAGTGAAAAAACTCAATGAAATGAATGCCTCACCAAGAATACTTTATCCGGCTAAGCTTTCACTCTAATTCAAAGGAACGATACACTATTTCAGAGATAAGTATCAGCTCAGGAACTTCACAGACTAAAAACCAAACTTAAAAGAAGGGCAAAAGGGGCTACTCTAAGACAAGAAAAACCCCTACAAGCACAACAAACCCCTACAGAAAGATGGCACAAAACCCCATGATAATAATCTCTCTCAATGTCAATGGTCTGAACGCACTAATTGAGAGACACAGAGTGGCAAAATGCATTCAGAAACTGAACCCAATATTCTGCTGCCTACAAGAAACACATCTGAAGAGTCAGAGCAAAAACAGACTCAAATCCAAAGAATGAAAAACAATCCTGCAAGCAAACAACTCCCTCAAAAAAGCCAGGGTGGCCTTACTAGTATCCGACAACAAAGATTTCAGGTTGAAAAAGATTAGAAGGGACAGGGAAGGACATTTTTTATTAATCAAGGGATATGTACAGTAAGAAGAAATCACACCTATGTGTATACACACCTAATGAGGGACCATTACAAACAACTGCTAAGAGATTTTAAGAAGGACATTGCTAGGAACACAATAGTAATTGGAGACTTCAACACTGCCTTCTCGCCTCTAGATAGATCAACAATAATAAAACTCAGGAAGGAAACACTGCCTTTGAAGAAAGAAATAGAAGAGAGAGGGCTAACAGATCTAAACAGGGCTTTATATCCGCAAAAGAAGGAATACACATTTTTTTTCCAGTGCACATGGAACATTTTCCAAAATAGACCACATGCTGGGTCACAAAACATACCTCAATAGAATCAGGAAGATAGAAATTGTATCAACCATCTTTTCAGACCACAATGCACTGAAGATGGAAGTTAATCACAGACAGATGTGGAGAACCAAATCAAAACCTGGAAATTACCACAATGTTGAACAAGTGGGTCAGGAAGGAAATCAAGGAAGAAATCAAAAGATCCTAGAAATAAATGAGAATGAAGACATGAGTTACCAGAACCCATGGGACACAGATAAAGCCATATTAAGGGGAAAATTTATAGCGCTGCAAGTGTTTCTTAGGAAGGAAGAAAGGGCCCACATAAATAACTTGACTTCACTGCTCAAGATCTTAGAAAAGAACCAACAAAAAGAACTCAAACCAGGCAGAAGGAAAGAAAAAACAAAACTTAGAGCATAAATTAATGACATGGAAACCCAAAAAACAATTTGAAAGATCAATGAAACCAAGAGCTCGTTCTTTAAGAAAATAAACAAGATTGATAAACCACTAGCAAGACTCACAAGGGGGGGGGGGAGGGAGAGAGAGAGGGAGAGAGACACAGAGACAGAGACAGAGAAAAAACCCTAATAAACTGAATCAGAAGTGAAAAAGGGGACATCACAAGAGAAACCAAAGAAATTCAAAAGATCATCAGATACTACTTTTAAAGGCTGTATGCCATGAAACAAGAGAACCTAGAATAAATGGATAAATTCCTGGATTCCTATAATCTCTCAAGACTAAACCAAGAAGACTTGGAAGACCTGAATAGACCTATTACTATCAAGGAAATTGAAACTGTAATCAAAAGTCTACCCAAAAACAAAAGCCCAGGCCCAGATGGATTCACTAGCGAATTCTTCCAAACATTTAAAAAATGACCTATTCCATTTCTCTCAAGCTTTTC